CTACCAAATTCCCAAAAAAATATACAAGTTTTTCCGGGAAAAAAAATCAAGATGTCTAATTGCTCTGAAACGCCCAAAAACACAGATTTTGAGGGTCCTTATGCAGATGGAAGGAATATTGGGACCTTTCTCCGAAAAAAAAATGGTCCTTTGTCAACAGGTAGGAATCCGAGTTTTTTTTGTGAAAACCGGCGAAATTTGTGTAGGTAGGAGGGGAAAATTTCGGGATTTCCATTAGGAGGGTATATCGGGGCTTTCCAGGGTCCTAACTTGGCACGGCAAACTAAAACATGAGGTGGCACTGGTGAGATATGTGTTTATATGCCTTGCCAAACCCCATAATTTGCAAAATTCAAGATTATGAACCCATGAAAGTCAAACTCACCTTCTCTTAGGGCGCGTTCACTTAGTGGGGAATTTGAGAAATCGCATTACAAGCGACCACTTTTCTACATGTAGAAAAGCGTTTTTTTTAAAAACACAAATTTTGAAATTTTGTGAAAAATCGTGAAAGAAGCGGTCTTGAGTCGTTCGTTTTGGATGCAATTAAGGACGGCTGAAAACCGTTCATCCTTTTCTGCTTTACGATCACATTCCTTGTCTTTCCTTCTCCTCTGTTCTGTCTGTTTCCTTCTGATCTAATATCGATCCAGTTCAAACTCAAAATCACCTTGAAACATGGGAGCTTGATGTGATCAATCATTAAACACATCAAGTTCAAAATGAATTCAATCATTACTATCATCACTATTAACAATCATCATGATTCCATCAATTTCACTCATAGTCTAACTCACAAACGTATGAACAAAAGCCAATGAAGTCATCCAAAAAGGAACCATACCAATGGGATACAAAGGATGATCAAAATATCTAACAGAATCGAACTCAATTTTTCAATCGATCCGGTTAATACAATTGATATGAGTTGAAGTATGAATGTGATCAATCGTTATCAGCTGAGTTGTGTATGAGATTGACCGTGAGTTGTTAATGAGATTGATTGATAAGGTTTGAATTTGAATGCATTGATATCTATTGATATAAGTTGAGTTGTGAGAGTGATCGAGGGTGGTGAGAGGCTGATGGAGGACAAATTGTATGATGGCTGGGGACCTGTGACAGATTTGAGGGGTTTTGTATGCTAGAAGGTACCTTGTAAAACCTGAGGAAAAGTTTACAGGGGAGTCGACAGGAGTCGACTGGCAGAAGAGTTGAGAAAATAAATCAGGAATGCAATTTCTAAAGGGAAAAATTCGATAATAGCGAATTCTTGTAAAGTCCCAAAAAATCGCTTTTTATAAGCATTTTCTGATTTTTGAAATGGTTGTATTTAAGAAATCAAACACATTTCACAGAATGCGATTTCTTGGCATTCAAGAAGGCGATTTTTCACAAAAAATCGCTTAAGTGAACGCGCTCTTAAGGATCACTCTATAGATCACTTCAAACTCAATGCCACCTTCATCATCATGCAATCATCTAATCATCTCAATACATCATGTATCTAAAATATACAAATGTGGAAGCAACTTGCATAAGTAGCCCAATCCTGTTGAACATGTGCTTTGGTTGATTTTGCATCAGAGCACTTTTGATACTTTTTCAAGTTCAATCTGTCATTGGATTCTCTACCCAATCACAAAATGCTTTGTTAGTGCACAACCGTGCTTTTCTCACCTTGTGGAAAGAAGTCATCTAATTTTTTCTGATTGCCTTTTGACCCCTTACTTTAGATTCTCACTTTTCTATTCTGATTGCTCCTAATGTTATGTTTTTGCTTGCATTTGATCATACAATTAAGTGAAAATATTTTGTTTGTGTGACCTGCAACACTTTTATTTGGGTAAACTGTATTTCTCAATAGTGAGCTTTCCAAGACTTGACTCCAAATGTTGTGTGTCTGCCTGGGTATATGTATGGCAAAGAGCTTGCACATATGTTCAAAATTCAATCTTACATGTGATTGAATTTTCTCCTTTTAGGTGAAAGATGAGTGGACAATTGCACCCACTTTTTAGGCATTTTTTTGACACTGAAAATGCCATAATCAGTTAAAGAAAAAGTCGTTTTGAATTAAAGTTGGCAGATTGTGTAATTCAAAATGTCAGTTTAGGTCATTTTGCCTGTCAAAAACACACATACTAACTTTCAGTACCCTAAATACCGTAAAATATAAGGACAAAAGTAATTGAAGAAAGTAGCAAAGACAAAAGATAGAAATAAACATAAGTAACCACAAACAGAAACCAAAAGAGCATGACATCATACCCCCAACAATTTTGAAAAGATCAAAAATACATCTATATGTAAAAAATGATGTAAAGATTTTCCAAAGTATGGTGAATCAGAGGAAGCCAAAGGGACAGTAGGTACAAAACATATAAAAAACCAATATCCAACCAATAAGGACTGGAAAACACATTGAAGCAAACCAAAAAGAACTGATCTGCAGCAACACACACATAACCCGACCTAAAAAACAACTAATGTAGGACATAAAATAACAATTATCTTAACATAGCAACCAGAAATCCAATTGAAATAAAATCAACAAATTTGGAATCACATAACATAATCCATAAAATATCCCAATATACACAGAGAGTAAACAAACTTATCAACAAAATAGGTAGATAAGAACCACATAACTCACAAAATATGAACAAAATTAAGAGAAAAAACTGAGAATGAAGAAAAATCCCAAAAAAAGAAAAAAAAATGTGAAAAAGTGTAATGATCAAATTATACTGTAAGAGCACCCACTATGGGTGCGGTAACTAAGTGATTTATTGTAACTTTAGTGCTAAAATCTCAACAGGTCCACTATGGACCTGTTTTAGACTTGCGGTCCCTCTGACCACATCAAATCTTGCTTTCCCCATGTTCAAATCTACAAACAACTACAACTTGATTTATTGTAAGACTTGATGCATCCAATCAGTCAACAACTGCATTATTCAAAACCTTGCCTTCAAAACTTCAACCTCAAAACTTTCAACTTAAACTTCAAAACTCAACTTTGAGTGTTCTTTACAATCTTCAATTGGTGTTTCAATTTGAATCTTTCTTTCAATTGGTCCTCTCAGAATCATTCCTCAACCAGTAAAATCTTCAACATCTTCATTAATCTAAACAACTAATGCAAATTTTAAATCATTCAAATAGGTTCTCAATTTGGTTCTTCAAAGATGTATGTTGTTTTGATAATAAGAATTCATCTGGATTGAAATCATAAGTTCTAAAGAATTCATGATTCAAAATCAATCATGTAATTGTAGATTTGACAATTTTAAACACTAGAGACAATAGTGGGGTTCAAGTCAAAATAATCTGAACCTAAAATGGGTTTTAGACGTCACTCGAAGGTCGTAAATTATAAGTCACTTTTTAAACCTCACGAGCACCTCGAGAGGTGCTTGTGAGGTTTAAAAAGACTTATAATTTACGACCTTTTTTTTCCTGTTTTTTTGAAAAAAAAAACACCTTTTCTTTTTTTAAAAGAGGCGGTTGCAATTGCCTACAAGCACATGTGACCAAAAAAAAGTCAGGAGTTCTTTTTTTTTTGTCTTCAACTGTCTTGTTAAAAAAAGAAGTGATCGCTCTGCCGTTTCGAACCGTCCAAGTTGTACTTTATCTCTCTTGTTGAACCCATAGCAACAGAGATAAGTTACTTCTGGCCGGCAGCTCCGACGTCTCGGAGCCAACAAAGTCCACCATACCGGTTTGTTGTATGAGGTTGTATGTCACACTTCTGGGACAGCTCTGGTGACAAATGGTACCCCCGACTGGTCCTCTCTGTCCAAAGAACCACCTTACCCTTTCACCATATCACATCCAATCCTCCTACCCTTTCACCATATCACCTCCAATCCTCCTCAGTTCTTCGTGGCACCGGTGCTTCGTTGTGTTGGTTTGTTTCTACCCAATCAAGACTTGTTATCTATTCCGTTTGACTCATTGATCCTTCACAGTCTCTCGATTCTCTCGATTCTCTCGACTCGATTCTCTCAATTCTCTCGACTCGATTCTCTCAATTCTCTCGATTCGATTCTCTCAATTCTCTCGATTTGATTCTCTCAATTCTCTCGATTCGATTCTCTCGATTCTTTACGATTTCTCGATTCCTTTGATTCTTTACGATTTCTCGTGCCTGTATCATTTATATTTATCATTTTTATATTTATATCTCTGTTTGAATCACCTCATCTCTCAAACACCCCAACTCAATCTTCCATCTCGATTTAACAAGTCAATTCGATAAATATTCACATTTATCAGCTTCATTCAGAATACTCACAACATGCCACCAAAGCCCAAATCCACGTCAAACGACAAGGTATTGTTTTTCTTTCATCCTTTCTTCTCATCTTGAAAATGTACTGATCATTATGCTTTTTTTGCTGCTTTCCAAAATCCAGCCTAAACGAACTCGTCGGACAAATGCTCAGATTGCAGAACATTTAGCTAAATCTGGATCCAAGAAGAAAGGGAAGGCAACTAGGGCCGAAATTAGGCGATCTCTTGTAGCTGCTCGTGAACAAGGTCCAGCAGAAGCCGATGATTCAAGTCAAGCCAAATCTGATCAATCAATTCAATCCAACGATTCGACTCAAGAAACTACTGCACCTTCTAAGTTACATCCGTCACAAAAGAAATCGACCAAGAAGGCTCCTGCGAAGCGTTCTCAATCAACAAAGAAGGCTCCTACCCCTTCAACATCACGTCAATCAAAAAACAAATCAACCAAGAAAGCCGACACCCCAAAGGCCTACAAGAGCCCTGTCTTCCAACACGCTGACTATGTTCATATAGTCACATACCTGGCTCAACCAAAGATCTACAATTTCCTCTTTGGCGGCGGCAAGAAAACGAATGTGACTGGCTTACCGATGAAAACAACAACAATACTCAACAGTCTAGCTGAAGACATCAACAACGATTACAACAAAAGGAACAAAGTCTTCTCTCGTTCACATTCTTGTCCAAATACATCGGTAATGCGGCTCACTGGAAAGACTATGAAGGATCGCTTGATTCGCTACAGACGACAATACTCTTGTACAAAGACTTGGCTAGGTGGCACTGGTGCAGGTTTAAGTGAAGCAGAACGTCTCCGAGGTATCAAACTTGAGGATGTGGTTGAATCAAAGTGTCCTTGCTTCAAGGAGATGGACGACCTTTTCAAAGACAAGCCGAACATTGTTCCTTTTGGAATCATGGACTCTGGGGTTTCAAAAGAAGAAGAAGAAGAAGATATCGATCAGTCTCTATTGCGTTTAGAAGTTTCTGAGCACACCAGTCATTCATCTCAGAACCAGTACCTCTTGATTTAGGTCAACCATCCACTTCACGGCAACCATTCAATCCATCTGTCAATTTTGATCATTATCAAAACGCAAACCATGCACTATTAGCTACCAACGATTATGAGAGACATCAGTCAGAGCTAGCTATCCAGAGATTCACTCAATCTTACGCAGACTTTGCACAAGGATCGCAGCCGACTATCCCATATTCATGGGATGACCCTTTTTTTCACCCAAATAAAGAACAATCAGCCGAAATATGGAAGCAACTGGCTGAGACCGACAGAAGACAAGAAGAAGACTTAAACAACAGATTTGTTCAAAGCCCGATCAAGGATTTGTATATTCCACCTCTGCCACCCGCAATCATTCCTCCTAACTATAACAACCGCATGGTTACAGCAAACTTCTCGCCTATTCTCTCTCCAACTGACAATCATCAAAGAAATCCTGGGGAACTCGATGACCTGTGCTTGAATTTCAACGATGAAGGAGCACAAGATGATGAGGCTCTTGAAAATGAAAACGAACAAATTGAAGAAGAAATGGAACAGATTCAGAACACGCAACAAACTCAAAATTCATCCAAGAGTAATCAAAATTTGCCCAAGAAGAGGAGCCGAGCTAAGCAACCTTCTTTCTAAACCGATAGTGATGCTTCGGAACTTGCTGTACCTTCCAAGAAAAAGGGGAGGTCAATCCAATCTCGCAAGTCGGCCGGCCCCGGCAAAACCATCGCATCTCGCCAAATGGATCCACTTCCGGCTATTGATCCTTCGACAGTGCATAGCAAAGACATCAAGAACCCCATCGCATTGGCTTTAATGAGCAGCAGCCAGGCCAGAGCTAAGGAGATGAAGGCCATTAATGAGTCGCGCCAGAAATCTGAGCTGGCCAAGAGCACAGATGCTCATGCTTGATTAACTTGGGAAAAGTATGCATTCAAGATGGGACGTTTGGACGAAATCAACCGTATCTCAGCCGAGAATGCTCAATCAGAACTATCAGCACGTGCAAAACTAGCTCAAGAGCTTGCCTTAGGTGGTAAAACCCCTGAAGAGGTTGAAAAATACCTCAAGGTGGTATTTCCTCCGTCTGCACCTGTGTAAGTTGTGACGATAATGAATAATCCAACAAATGACTGATTGAACTGACTAGCTGATTCACCAACTTATAGTGCACCTCCGGCGCAACACTGAATCACTGACTTCACTCTTTCAATGTATTTTAATTTAGTTCAACTTATTTCTTTCAATTTACTTCTCAATTTCTCAATGTATCTTAATAAGAAAGCCAGATCGTCAACTAGCTCAAAGAAATTCAATTCGCAAATGGCAACGCAAACAACTTTCAGTACATCTCTTTTAATTTATCTCGTTCCAAGTTTCACCTTATCAATTTGTCTCAATTTATCTTGTCTGATCAAAGTGTCGACTCAAGACTCGAAGAAATACTTTTAGAAATACTTTTCAATGTACAATAAGATCATCTTAATATAAGAAATACTTCAATATACAACGTTAAAACAACAACAACAAATCGGATTGTCATTGTCGACTTGGTTATTTCAATTCACCTTATCTCCACCAACTCCTTATTCTTTGATTGTTGTCCGTTTTTTAGCAAATGAAAGAACGCCATCCATCACATCGTCTCTTTATTTCCATCAAGACTAGCGATCTCGAGAAGAACGCCATCCATCACATCGTCTCTTTATTTCCATCAAGACTAGCGATCTCGAGAAGAACACCATCCATCACATCTTCTCTTTATTTCCATCAAGACTAGCGATCTCGAGAAGAACACCATCCATCACATCTTCTCTTTATTTCCATCAAGACTAGCGATCTCGAGAAGAACACCATCCATCACATCGTCTCTTTATTTCCATCAAGACTAGCGATCTCAAGAAGAACACCATTCAGTTGATCGTCTCTTTATTTCCATCAAGACTAGCGATCTCAAGAAGAACACCATTCAGTTGATCATTAGCAATCTGATTGTTGTCCTTTCATTTTCATCATCAAAAAATAAAAATAAAAACCTATAAAAAAGTTGTTTTTCTTTATCAATAAGGCAATCAATAGATGAATTTCACAATTTTGATTTAGTTCTTTGAGCTAAGTTCAAGATTGTTAATTTGCTGTTCTTTGTTGTTTCTCTTTTCAATTTCTCCCTCTCCCACTTGTTTGTCTTTGCAAGAGCACTCAGTAGCAGTCGTTTACAATTGTAAGGTTGTTGTTTGAATTGCAATTCATGATAGATATCAACATTGTGTACAACTTTCAAATAAACTTGAAGGATCTGAATTAAAAGGATCACGAGAAAAAAAGAACAAAAAATTTGACCAAAAAAAACATCTGAATAAACATAAACTTCCACCACAGGATTTGATTCCAATCAGGCAGGCAGGCGGGGATCAACAATAGGGAGGACACCTCGTGCGTAATTGTAAGCTACTGTGTGATCTCAAACTATCTCTCTCTTCGCCCTACCCCTTTCCATAACTTCCGCACCACTTTCTTCAAATGTCCTTTCAATATCTTGATACCGGATGTTGTCCCCCATGACTGATTCGGTTAGATCATCCCATGCGTTGCCAAGATTGGCAAGCATGTTGTGGAGGATCGCACAGCATTTGATCCAATCAAGGATATGTCGCATGTCATCCTTTTTGTGCAAAGAAAGACGTAGTCCTTGCAGTGAAGCCCAGCGTCCCTTCAAAATTCCAATACAATGCTCGTTACGCACACGAGTCTTTGCAACACACCAATCAAATTCTTGGTTTCTTTCGACTTCGGCAGCTGGGCCTTTGTAAGAAGGAACCACAGTGTTTGATGGGTTGTAGGCTGAGTCGGCCACGATGTACTCACCTATACCAGAAGGATGAACAATCAATGTCAAGATCTCAATACAGATCAAAGATAACAATACTGACCAGGTGAGAAGTATCTGTCTGGACGAGCTGCCATATCGGTCTTGGCATAAACTGTACTATCACAGCAAGAGCCAGGCCAACCAGCATAAAGGTAAGTGATGCGTCGATCGCAATCACATACCACTTGCGCATTGATTGAATATGAATGTTTCCGGTCAAAGAAAACCTCGCCATCCCGTCCCGGCCGTTGATACAAAGGAATTGTAGTTCCGTCAACAAAACCCACACAATCAGGGAAGCCATCTTGTTGCAATACACTTGATATAGCCTTCCGACGATCAGCCGATGGCCAAGCTAGATATTGATCACCGCGTTCAAGGATCACACCAATAACTCGCCGAGTACACTTGATAATTTGACCCCGGCTGACCTTGTAGTTCCGTGAGAACCGACCCACCGATGCCCCATTCCCATTACTACCTAGACGCTCCAGAGTGATAGCTAGCTGGTGTTCGACCGGAGGTTGTGGATTATTGATGACTGATATAAAGCTTGGATGGTCCTGAATAAGATCTCTGAGGGCTTCGAATCCTTCAGGGGTCGTACGCATTGCTTGTCAAAAATCTTTACGACATTCTCGGAGCATGTCTTGTAAGTTGAATGGAGAAGCATGAGGTTGTGTCGTGGAGAGAGATACCGTGTTTCGCTAACCCAAGTAAGTAAATCAGCTAACTCGTTTTCTTGACTGAAAACTGCATCGTAGAGCTCGGCCTCAGCAGGATCATCAGGATACAATAATTGTCCATCAGTTGGAAAGTCCGGCTCCTTGTCGTTGTAGATGGCAAAGTTGTTCATCGAATCGAGGTGCTCCCAGACACAGGCCAGGGTAAGATCTCGGATAATCTGAGCTTGTTCGGACCACCTTGGCATTGTGGAAAGATGGAGATTGAAGAGGAAAGGTTGGTCGATGATGACGTTGTAATCCTGGTCTCAGCGAGCGTCAATAGTTACCACTCGGCATCTGTGACCCGGACGACATCAAACCACCTTTGGGCTGCAGTTTGATCATCTTAATTTTATTCTCTCTTTTTTTCTAGCGCTTTTTCACAAAGAGCCTCTTTTTTGATTGATTTTTCAACATCAACGCTCTTGAGTTTTTTTCGAAGCTTTTTAAGCATTCGTACCTCTGTTTCAAAGCTTGTTTTTTTCCTTATAAGCCCCAGTGGCTTACTTTTAAACACTCTTTACGACGTCTGAGTGAGCTTATAGGTAAAGGTAGTCCTAAAAAAATTGCTCGGTAGTCATAAAATTCCGCTCAGGAATTTTTGACTTGAACCCCACTAATGCGGGCATGCCCGCAACAGTTGAATTGGTACATTATATTTTGTCATAACTGATCTCCACATGTGATGTGCACTGGATCCACTTGTGATTTTTAATCAGTGCACTTTTCAAAACCTATTATATTGGTATCACCCAACAATATTGCACAAACTACCAGATGATTTTAAATTATCAGATAGAAAGTAGAAACCATGTCGGAAAGAAATTCACAAAAATGAAGGAAAGCACATACACTCAAAGGGAAAGACAACAAAGTTGCAACTGTCCATAAAAAACCTTGGCATATTGACCTTTGAGCCAAAAAAGAAAGACATACAAAAGGATTCTTGTGGCTATGGCATCCTCTCTCAATAAAATGTTACATTGAAAAGAGCTTGTGAAAAAAGGACCACGTGAAAAGCTAAAGAATGGACACCTGATCTGAAAAGGTGTGGTATATGGTATCTGGAGCCAGGCTTGCCAGCCAAAGAAGAGGAGGGGACCAAGTCTTCCACTTTTTGGAGTATTTAGATGTGGGCTGATAAGTAAAAGAAGAACTGGAAGCTCATAATGAGATATCAACAGCAATAATGAAGAGTCGAGGATGGTTGAAATGTTGCATGATGAAGTAAATCCAAAATATAAACAATAATAAATAAAGGTAGAGCCGATTAATTGAGATGGCTCAACAAAGTTGGGTACCTCTAGTTGATATCTTCAAAGTGAAAAAGTCACATTGAAAAAGCATGAAGTGAGAAAAGCGCTTTGAAAAAGCATGAAAACACGAGCTGAGAAAAGCACATTGAAAAGGCATGAAAGCATGAAAGGGAAAAGTAACCTTGGCAAAAAATCATGAAAAAGCAGGAAAAGTGACGCAGAGGAAAATGGGCCGGAGGAAAGTGGATTGAACAGTGAGCGGTACTTCATGCGAGTCGATTCCACGTTTTTATATTTTAGATAGTTCTTCACTCATTTGGAATCTACAGGAATCTTCAATTAAAAATGACTTCATATTTAGTGTTATGTGTGAAATAGTCATCATATAGCCTCTGAGCACATCAAGCGCAGTCTTGATCGATGCAAGTCTGAGGAGGTGGAGGTGGTGTGTGAGGTTTATCAAACAAGAAGTCAAAGACCAGTTGGTCACTCTAGTTGTTGTTCCTCATCATTGTTGGAAGACTTTAAAAGACCGTCAATCTCCCTTTTCAAGGGACTCAGAGCAGGCATCTGATGGATCTTTTGTTGGATGAAATTTATGAGAAATAAGTTATTTCATTTCAAAATCATACCACTGTGGATCTGGTTGATTCACAGTGATGTATCATTGGTAAAGCAGATGTTACGTTAATCCATAGTGGAATTCATGCGGTTACCAACTTTGGTAAAACACACATGATTGAATTTTGCGCTCAGGACCGCAAAATCTAAGGTTAATCACCCTCATGATAGTGGGTGCTCTAAGGGCTTGCACTTGCGGCAAAGATACCTTGGATTGCAAAATCCAAGGTATCCTCGGATTTAAATTCCCTCAGACTATGTGTCCAAGGAATTAATCCAAGGCTTTCTTTGGCTCCAGACATTGCCTCAAATCAATTACTCAGACACCACATCCAAGGCTATTACCATCCCAGGATACCTCAGATTGGAAAATCTGAGGCATCTTTGTTGGCAGTGTTGGGTGTAAGCTAGGAAAGTTCATAAATGTCTAAGTATCTACTTGAGTGAGGCAAAAGCAAAACTATGTTGGTAATTTGATGATGAACTAGGAAACAATTCTGTACAACATCTTAATTATATACTAAACAAAACTTGTATGTCCATTCTACTTGCTAACAAAACTATTCATAGACAATTCAACTTCTTTCTTTTGACATCACTATTTGTTGACAACCGTATCCTTTACAAAATTTGATCACACCAATACAATTATTTGATAAAACAACTCAAATCATTACAAATCCGCCCAATACCACCTCAGATTCATCCCACAACACACTCAACATCCACAATGTTTTAGCAGGTCAATTATTGATAGATGAATGTTAGTACATTTTCATCATTGTGAAAATTTTTCCATCAAAATGGAGGAAAATTGTGCCAAGCTCATGGACCATCACTTTTGAGCAATGTCTTTGGAAAACTTTGGAGATACATGAGTCCTTGCTACCACCAACAAGAGAATCCTTCCACACCCTGATTGACCCCTTCCAATTTGGAACAACGGATGGATCCTTTCATTAATCACTAAGAATTACAAGCCCTTATTCCAGCCAATACCTGCATCATACCATGTTGATAGAAGATCATGTTTTAGTTCAGGCCTACAGATGGACTGCTACTGGGCTGAATTGCTACATACTTGATGATAAGGTTCATCATGTTGTATCAAAACAGACTTCATCTCCTCCTCCTTATGATCATACTATCAGTGCCAAGCAGAGTCTTATGTGCATGCTGAGACAGCAATTGAGAGATTCAAAACAAAGGTTTTAGGTATTGAAAAGTTCAGCCAGGTCAAAAAAAACCTTGTTCAGAGCTTGAGAGCATGTCACATCTTGCTTTGTACTGTCAAATATCATGTAGAGGATGATAAACTCAATTATATAGATATTCAATCCTCCAAACAAGATGCTGAAGCAATGAGTTGTCCAATTTGTGGGAACCAAACATATTTACTTGATGGGTGAAGTTGATTGTTCAAAGTTCTGGCTCTTTGAAGAAAAGCTTGTGAGTCAATTTGAAAAATATGTCAGCACTCAAGAATTTGATGTCCAAAATGGTAAGCAAAGGGATCAACTACATATGATGCTTCATATGTTTATTCATAACAGCTTGTATGAGAAAGAAGGAAGATCCTTCATCTGTGACATGCAAGGAGTGGGTTCTACACTCACTGACCCCATATTTGACAATCTTGAAGTTGGGTGAGTTCTCTATCATCATATCAGCAAGAATATTTGGTTTCATGACTGACAAAAATCTCCAACACAGCAAAAACTTTGTAAGTGGAAATATGAATTATGGAGGTCTCAAGTTGTTGATCTCTCAACATACAGAAACCACATGGTGTAAAAAGATGGTACTAGGTTTGATCAGCAAATGGCAACATAATCTCAACAAGTAAGACTTGAAATTCCTATACTTTCAACCCTGAAACAACTCTCATCCAGATATGAATGTGAATCTTAAAATGCTCATGATAGAGTTCACACTTAGTCATGAGGAGAAATATTTGGACTGTATAATCTTACCATCCTCAATGATTTGATTGTTGTATCAGGCTACTCCTGTATAGTCCTTCTATTGATGTTTGAAAGATTATTTGATCAGTAAGAAACAGCTTTGCGGCTCAGCAATTCTTATTTCATTGACTGCTTGAACTCTTTCAGCTTGCATCTCGAATGCTTTGGTAAATACGCGGTGTTCAATAATTCAGCTATCAAACCATAAGTCTGGGCCATGTTCTATACCTAAAAAAACCAAGCCCTCAAGCATTCTTTGGATCATTATTTTTGCCCCACTGGGTTGACTTTTGCTGATCCTCATCCAAAGAATAAATGATGTTCTAGAGGTTTGACTTCCTATTCTCAAGTTACATCTTGTTCAAAAATTCTTATTTTCAAAGCTACCAAACGCAACCCATTCTTTGTATGTGATCTTTGCTCCATCAACTTGTCCGTTTAATAACACAACTGAAAATAAAATCAAAACCAATAAAAATAACTATCTCTTCCCTCCGTGCTTTCAAATCTTATTATCCAAGTCAATCTCCTCAATCAAATTCAATTATTAAACTTTCCAAAAACAAATACTCCAATCAAAATCAAAATAATAAATCCAATCATAATTTTGATCTTCATATCTTTCCACCACATTTCTTTTCTAACTCGATGAGCACCTGTTCTAAACCCTTGAGAAGTGAGTGACAAATGTTCTATATACGCAAATATCGAAACCAATAATCAGTCTCATATTTATAGATCTAATCTGTTTATTTATTTTTTGATGTGAAGGTGAAAAGGGAACTTGAACCTGTTTTATCATGTAATGCATCCAACCTTTCTCCACGTTCAGCAACTTGTGTGATATTTTCTCTCATGATTCCAACTGTATCGTTAATCTAAAGAACCTCCACAAACCCAAATCAGTCCAGTTATTACAAACCCTATGACGATACTCTTTTCTAACCTCATCTTGAATAGCTTGTGTTTTATTATGACCAGGTGCTTGATCGGAAGTTGGAGCCATTGGAAAGATGATTCGAATTGTGATGAATCACCAGTGAGGAACAATGCGAAAGAAGGAAGTACAAAAGAGATTGTAGAAAGAATCTTGCGGAAGTGGCGAGTTGTATAAATGAGGATTGATTTGCTGGAAGCGAAGATTGTAGTACATAGTTGATCTACTGTATTGAGACTGAGTATGTATCATTGACAAAGCCTGTTTTTGGTAAGTGAATTGGTAAATGGTGATTGATTGATCAGAATCGATCCAAGGGGTGGCCTTGCCATATGGTCGTGGACTTGTGAGTCTGACCACTGCAGGAAGCTCAAGCCTCAAACCTTTCAATGCAAGCACTCGTGCATTAGCAGGTGATTCCTGGTATAAAAAGTGATGCTCTCGAAATCCATCAGAGATTTTGCCTCCGATTCGCTGGGGTTCTGGTTTTCAATCGGATTTTGAATAAAGTGGATTAAGCAATACAAAAGATGCAGACTACATTTATACATAATGAGAATAGCATCATAAGGCAAGATAACATGATCAGGTAACACAATGAATATACGAGAAAGATACTAGGTGAACCACGACAGATGCCCATTGGATGAACTCAAAAACAGTGGGAAAACAGTGGGACAAGGAATAGCAAAGGTGAAAGAAACAACAGCTTCAAGTTTTTTGTATTATTGTTGTTAGGTCTCTAAAACTAATCTTCTGTTCCATGATACGTGATGGAGTTCTGCAATGAACAAAATTTTTAAGCCATTGATCCATAGGCCGGTGGAGCGGGAGTTTGTTGATTAAAACCAGGTTGGGCTCCTTGAGAATTGTAACCGATAGGCTCCTAGTGAAAGATCGCGTAACACACTTTGTGAGTTTCATCTGGTTGATTTCACGAAGAGAGGTTTACACTGACGTATGTTGCATTTCCGATGTATTTGTAACCCTCGTGTCCGTATCGCTCTTCGGCCTGCATACGTTTGTAGATCACTGAAAACAGAGCCGAAGGGGAAAAAGTAGTTGAGGTTGGGTTCATGATGCATTGCTGATTCAAGGTTTACCATGACGTACGATAGAAGGCGTGAACGTGCCCTGTTGTATAGAAACAAGGTGTCAGTCAAACGCAATATCTTGATATGCTGTGTACTCCTCACCTGGAATGTAGCCAAGTCTGTATACCATATAAAGGTTTAAGTGATGAGCGATGTACTATGTAAAACGCAGACGATTTAGGTAAAACAAAGGCTACTTACACTGTCAAAAGTATGTTGATGAGAAAATCACAGCCGCATCCTGTTAGGAACAGCGCTGATGCAGGTGGAAAGACGACAGCGACCAAAATGAGAATACTGGAAATGTCGTGAAGAAATAGTATGTGATGAGTAGGGTCCGAGATAATGGGATTTATTTCGACTTTTGAACCTGGGATGAACTCACATATCGCTACCTTTGACCATGTTGACGTGAAGATGTTATATGACGGTGAGTTCGGAGATGCTGAGATCGAAATCGAGATGCTTTGTATCAGTGATTCTGTTGAGAATGGGGTGTTTAAACCTTGATGTGAGGTGCGGCGATGGGAACGGTTTATGAAAGTTGCAGCAGTCGCAGCCTGCTTCAGACGGATCGACTTTATCCACGTGCCCCGCGCGATTTAACTGGCCCGCATATCCGATGTCTTACTTACGTAATTTTTTACAACACCAGACGGGTTGTTGTAACGTACACACGCTCTTTTCTTGACCCCCTGTATCCAAACAATGCAACCAAGGCTCTGATGCTGACCCCTCTTTTCAACCCAGATGTGGACATTTCCCACTGAAGAAATTTCTTCATCAAATTGGAGTCAAAAAAGACAATAGATGTGAAGGCTGTTTTGCAACGAAAATGCCGGCACATTTTCTGGTTGACTCCAAGCAACAATAAATATTCAGAAAAAAATTGAAAAAAGAAAAAAGAAAAGTTAACATCAACTCTGCTCTAGAATTACCAGATACACCTGAAGTCTGCCCACATTTAGAATAAAACCAATGTATCTTCAATAGGAGGTTTCAATTTAAGTTTTTTATGGTATCTTTACAGTACAACAACTTGTCCAAGACTGTAAAACATACCGCAATGGTAAAAGAATTTTGTCAACCATATATTTGCAGAAAAAAAAACACTGTAAAATTTCAAAAATGTGTCTGTTTCATAAAGATTTTACACAAAATTTTCCTAACTATCAGGGGGTTTCAAGTTTGAATTTTTTGTTATGGCCGGCTTCAGGGGACCTTGCTTGGGGACAGAGAGAAGGGAAAGGGTGCTAAGTACGTGGTAATGTTATTGTAGCATGAGGAGCAATACAAGTGGAGCGCTGGGCTCGTATGAGGTTGAGAGTCTCACATGTCACAGGTTGTGACAGATCCATGATCCGTGATAGGATCATAACACTATCCCCCTTTTACGCCCAGGCTCCCTATTCGCGGCCCTGCGTTCCTCCCCGGGGCTAGCGTTAAAAAACCCGGTGGGAAAAAGCCTCGCCCCTCTACATACGCCGTGATCTACCATATTCTTCTGCAGCCTTCGGATATTTTGAATTGAAATCGTCGATCAGTGATTTAGAGTTTGCGACATTCACCTCAGGTTCCCATGAATCTTCTGATCGATCGTATCCTTTCCAACTAACTAGGTACTCGACTTTCTTTCCTCTTAATCTTTTATCTAGTATGGCTTCAACTTCGAATTCTTCCTCGCCGTCAATTTCAATCGGATATGGGGCTACCTGTTGTCTGTCTTCTATCATATCCGGTAAGTGTTTCTTTAGAACTGAAACATGAAATACGGGATGCACTTTACTCATACTGATTGGTAATCTCAATTTATAGGCCGATGTTGAAACTTTCTTCTCAATGATAAAAGGGCCTAACCATCGATGATCAAGTTTGGCCGACGGTCGTGTTGTCGAGATGTGGTGGCTATTAAGCCAGACTTCATCACCTATGTCCCAATCTGGCGTAGGTCGTACTTTCTGATCGTAGTTCTTTTTCATCGTTTCTTGAGTTCTTAGTAAGTTTTCCTTCAATTCCCTCTGAATTTCTTCAATATGGCTTAACCTGTCCTCTACCTCGGGTATGCACCTTTCAGCCGACGGGATCCTCCCAAACGATAGGTCGTACCCAATATTGGCTTTAAAGGGCGAAAAACCTGTCGACGTATGTGTACTGTTGTTATACGCGAACTCGGCTAGGGGCAAATAGTCAGTCCAGTCATCTTGGCGATAACTTACGAAGTGACGGAGATATTGTTCAACCGCTTTGTTGACAATCTCCGTTTGACCATCTGACTGCGGGTGGTAGGCCGTTGACGGGTGTATTGAAATACCCAGTTGTTTATTTAGCGATTCGGTGAGTCTTGATATAAACACACTCCCTCGATCTGAAACTATAGACTTAGGCGCTCTGTGGAGTTTCCACACGTTTGCTAACATTAAACTTGCTAATTCATTTGACGACATCTCCGTTGTACACGCAATAAAGTGGCTCATCTTCGTCATTCGGTCGACTACGGTAAGAATACAATTCTTTCCCTGTGACAAGGGTAAGTCAGTGATCATATCGTAGCTCACATCAGTCCATGGACCGGCTGGTATAGGTAAGGGCTTGAGAGATCCGAATGGTGACAAGCTCAATGGTTTGACTCTGGTGCACGAATCACAACCGTCAACAAATTTGTTCACGTAGGTTTTCATCAACTTCCATCTATACTGCCGCTGTACTAGGCTCAGTGTCTTTGCCCTTCCTGGGTGGCCTGCTAACGGGCTTTCATGTCGACTTCGTAGGATCTCAAATTTACACCTCTTGTCGTCTGGTACCTCTACCAACCCCTTATAGTACAATATGCCGTCATGTACCTGGTAACCTTGGAGTGCTTCTTCCACCTCCTTCACTAACGGATCTGCTAAGGTGTCCATCAAGCTCCGAATACGTGGATCTGTTGCTGATGTCGTTCTGATTCTTTCCATTATCTCGTCGTCGGTCAGGATGGGTGAGTCTGTTTCTCTGTCGAGTGCGTCGATTGATACGTCTTCCATTGGGTTGTTCTGACACACATCTTCTTCAAACCAATCCTCTACCTCTTCGTGCTCGACGGACTCATCAACGAACCAAGCTTCTATACTGTCAATGTCGGCGTTGAATGTCGCTTCTGACAAGTTTTCTGGTCTGAGGAGGTTACCGACAGATAGTTTCTCGTGTGCAGGAGGCTCTAGGTCCGGTCGCCGCGATAGTGCGTCCGGTTTACTCGACTGCCGGCCTGGTCGGAATCGGATGTGGAAGTCGAAGCAACCCAGTGTCTCGGCCCAACGGGCCTGGCGCCGTGTAAGTTGTTTTGTTGTCATGAATGACTCCAAGTTCTTATGGTCAGTGTAGACTGTGACCTCGAGACGGTTTGGATTACCCTCTAGGTAATGTCTCCACTCTTTGAAGGAGGCGACGACGGCTAACAGTTCCTTATCGAAGATTTCATAGTTCCGTTCAGCTTGGACCAATGATCGCGATAGGAACGCGACGGGATGTAGGACATCGTTATCATCGAGCTGGGACAACACAGCGCCCAACGCAAAATCGGAACAGTCGCATTCCAAAATGAAAGGTTTATAAGGGTTCGCGATCTTCAGGACAGGCGCTGTCGTGAAGGATGTTTTCAGGGTATCAAAGGCTTTCTGTTGGTTCTCACTCCATACAAACGGTACGTCTTCCCGGGTCAGATCGTGCAGAGGTCTTGATATCTGTGAAAAGCCGCTGATGAACCGTCTATAGAAGTTCGAAAATCCCAGGAATTGTTGGATTTGCGTAACGTTCTTTGGTACCGGCCACTTGCTCACTGCCGATACTTTAAGGGGGTCCATGCGGACCTTATTCTTTGATATAAGCAAACCTAGGTATTCGATTTCTTTGCATGAGAACTTGCATTTTTCAGGTTTTAGCCAAATGTTATGCGCCTGTAGGATTTGTAGAACCTCCTCCACCACCTTCTCATGATCGACTCCTGCCGGTGTGTAGATCAAGAGGTCGTCTAGGTATGCCGCCAGGTCCCGACCTATCCTCTCGCGCAGTATATCCGAGATGAAAAATTGGAAGTAGCCTGGAGCCCCAGTCGGCCCAAACGGCATTGTAAGTGGTTCAAACTGTCCTCTTTTGCAAATGAAAGCTAATTTTTTCTCATCACCTTCCTTTACCCTTAAATTGTTATAGCCATTCCGCAGGTCCAGACTCGTGTAGTCCTCAGCATCCCGTAAGCTATCCACTAACTCCATGGTAAGGGGAAGTGGATACTTATTTTTAACGGTTAACGCATTTAGCTTCCGGTAGTCGAAGCACGGACGAAGGTTCCCATCCTTCTTCCCAGTGAAGAGTACCGGGGCCGCCCATGGTGAAGTGGTACGTCGTATCGTACCTTTGGCGAGCCCTTCGTCTATCATCGCATTAAGTGCCGTCTCCTCAGCCGGCGACAGCGGGATGATTTTGCTGGCCTGCGGGGTCGCTCCTGGCACCAGGTCGACTCGGAAGTCGTAACGGCGGTGTGGCGGTAGGGTCATGGCGCTTGTCTTACGAAACATGTTAATATAGCGATGGTAGCGAGTTGGGACCAACTCCTCGGCAGATTTCAACGGTTTATCCTTAGCGCTGTCGGCTGCTAACTTAGCCGCTAGATTCCAGGATGCGCTTGCGGCGAATGACGAGGCGGTCAATCTGGGAATGGAAGGTGAGAGCTTGTCAACTGTTCCAATGGTCTGGTTGATAGTTTTGTTGTACTCACATCGCGGGGGCTTGATCTCGTTAACACAGAGAGCCCCCTCGCCGCTTTTCCTAGTGTTCCCCAAATGGGCCTCATGGCTAGTCGGGGTGGTTTTCGGAGCAGGCGACACCATCGTAGTGGTAGCGATGTATCTTCCTAATGTTTCGACATCTGGATTTTGGATTTCTGGTAAGTCTTCTGATTTATCCGTCTGGGTACGTTGTGCCTGTGGTTCAAGGGTGTCCTGGTCGTTATCTGTGTCAAGTAATAATGGCCAGAAAGGGTTTTTGGACTCACATCGCGGGGGCTTAGTCTCCATTTTGTAGAGAGCCCCCTCGTCACTGTCCCTCGTATTCCCCACTTGGGCCTCAAGGATATTAGGGGATGTTGGCGGGTTGGACGAAGCCTTGTCACTGGCTGCGATGTTTATCGAGGTATTCTTCGATTTCGGCGTGTCTTCTTGGGCGTTTGGTGAGTGTGGTAGTTGGTTTGTTTCAACGCTTCGGGGCTGTGGTACGAAAGTAATCTGATCGTTATCTGTGTCACGAAGTAACGGTGCAAACGGGTTCT